TACTGCTATTAATATTCTAATAATAAATCTTATCTGAATTTACTAGTAAATTATAATTATTTCTGTATATTTATTCTCATGGATAACAAATTTGATCATTTGCAATTGTTTAGAATGCTTGTCTTACTGAATGCATCACATATTTCATTGCCTGATGTGATTTGTTTTTATATTTAATAAACAAGTTATTTTTTCCAGTCACAATACATTTTTGAAGTATTTTACTGGTTCAGAATTATCTCCCTTAGAATCGTTCATTTGTTGTCCCTATCACTGGTGTTTGTTATTTAAATGCTTTTTTGTTTTGTTTGAAAAGTTTGGAGTAAGCAAACATTTAGGGGATCTTGGTATTTATCACTAAATGTAATGAATGAATGTTTTATTTTTACAGTTGTCAAGTCTGTGTGTGGGAGATTGTATGTTCTGTTAGATGATAAAAGGATTTTGAAAACTGCAAGCCTTTGTGTATGGAAATACATGTTTTAAAAGTGAATAAATGATCTTTCAAAAGAAAAAGTAAATTAGTCTGTTTTTCAAATCACCCTGCGTCCGTGGTCCGCCGTCTGTCGTCTGTCCTTAAACAGTTCTTGTTAGCTCACCTGGTCCGAAGAAGAAGTACCAGAGGGTTCTTTCTCAAATTTTATATATAGGTTCCCCTTGATCCTTAGCTGTGCAGGGCAACTTTTGAGACTGATCGGATAAACAACATGGTCGACAGGCAGCCATCTTGGATTTTGATAGTGAAAGTTTGTTATCGCTATTTCTCGGGAAGTACAAGAGGGTTCTTTCTCAAATTTTATATATAGGCTCCCCTTGGTCCTTAGCTGTGCAGGGCAACTTTTGAGACTGATCGGATAAACAACATGGTCGACAGGCAGCCATCTTGGATTTTGATAGTGAAAGTTTGTTATCGCTATTTCTCGGGATGTACGAGAGGGTTCTTTCTCAAATTTTATATATAGGCTCCCCTTGGTCCTTAGCTGTGCGGGGCAACTTTTTAGACTGATCGGATAAACAACATGGCCGACAGTACCGTTTTCAGTTGTCATTACTTCAATTTGAATCGAACTGTTCGTGATTTAGAAAATGTGATGATTATTTTTTCGGATTTTCTGTATAAATACTGCCAGGGTGTCTTCTTTGAGGTGCGAGTTTTGTGTATTTCTTTCTGGGAAGACCTGAATGGAGTGGATCATGTCGGGTTTTAACTAGGGTTGAAGAATTAAATATATAATGGTTTTTTTTCTGTTTTACATATTACAAACATTATCATGTTATATGTAATTTAAAGGTCCTGAAGCATTGTGTTAAATGCTGTGGAAATATTTCTTCCCAAAATTATTTTGTCCACCAATATGTCATTTGGGCCAGTGCTTCACATTTTTTACTCGCCAATTTTATTTAATTTTAGGCCAGCAAATGCCCACTATCCTTTATTGTTCATGTTTACTTTTAAAACTGATCAGTTAAACAAAATGGCCTACCTACAGCCATCTTCGATTTTTGACATTGAAGGTTTGTTAGTACTATTTCTGAGGAATAACTTTAGGGATATTTCTCAAATTTGATATGTAGGTTCTCCTTGATCCCTTGTTGTGCATGTTATATTTTGAGATTGATCATAAAAACAAAATGACTAAAGGAAGAACTAACCAGATCTTTCTCATATTGCAATGATCGATTCTATTTCTTTCACATTAAGTACTGTACTAGTAAATATGTGAAATGACAAACTCACTTTGAAGGTTGGCTTTCATACACATCAGTATTAAGTTTAGATCAAAAGTTACCTCACGGTGCATTTACTGTTAACATGACTCGATCAAATAGCTAAGAGGAAAGAAGAGAAAAGATCGAACTGACAAAGAACTAATGAAGATGGTACAAAGGTGGGCGCCAAGATCCCTCTGGGATCTCTTGTTCTTTTTTAGGTCACTTGAACCTTTGGTTTGGCTAATGTAACATTTCATTGTGATGTATGGCATCTATTGCAATTTTCATATTTTCAACTTCACAGAAACCAATGGATGGTTATCAGCAAAAAGTTGGCAGGAACAACAATAAGGTGATGTGAGACTCAAGTTATTAAAATGGTATGGTTTAATCGAGGCTAACATATTCCGGTCCAGAATGAGAACATTTTGTACAAATTCAAAAATCCTGGGAAGGAGAACCGTAAATGGGTTTTTCAAATTCATAGGTCTAATGGTCTTAGAAGAAAAAGTAACTTGTTTTTCTGCTTAAGAATATTTATTGGTTCTCACACAAAATCTCTTAAAATAAGGATGATTCAAGCATTGCCTCGATAGTGTCCATGAGGAAGGTATGGAAAGGGTCGACAAAATTGACCCTTTTTTTTGATACATTTCTCTTAATTATGGAAATGTTAACTGGTTACATTGGCAACCATACTTAAAAACACAAATTGATCTTTTCACAATAACATTGAGGAAGTATTAAAGAAATAAGCGAAAAAAACACAAGTCTTGCCACACTGCAGTCACAATCTGTTCCCGACAGAGTTTATCGGAAAAAATACATGAATAATAATTCATTGTTAAGTATCGCTTTTACTATAATTTGAATTGCTGAAATAACATCAATAAGCTTATGGAAACCTAATAATCCTTACTGCTTAAAAAATGGTCTGAACTCATTTACTCCTGAAGACACATTTGAGCTCCTCCAATTCAAAGGTTGGGATAATTCATTACAACGTTTCAGGGGTGAATGAGTTAATATATTAAAGCAACTCTTAGATTATACAATGCAACTCTTTACCCCTTTCGGAGAGACGCAGTTCCTATTTTACAAAACGCAATACAGTTGCATGTCAGATAAATGTTCACATATGTTATAAAATCAAGCCTACCAATGTTCACGCGTTTATCAGTAGGGGATGATTGCACAGAGTAAAATGAGATTGTCATATCGACATATCCTTCACTTTCACATTATGAAAATATGTAAAATTATTAATGCGTCTTCTCTCCACTCATGTAAAAACACTACACAAACTACAAATATCCATTTACCGTCTAGCCCTGGGCACCGCGAGCAGTCGGCGTTTAATATTGCAGAAAAATATATACATGATACATACAAAATACAGATGTATTATATACCCGGTATATATAAAAGCCCAATGGACAAAAATGTGTCATCCCAAACATTCGTTCACCAAACTCGCTATCTGTTATTAAAAACAAAAATTAACATCCTTCCCCATCTCAAACCAAAAAAACCCCTGCCGCCCAGGAAAAACCGGAGCTGCCCCCGGAAACCTGTGTCCTAATGTCGACATGCAATAATAAAGGCGGGAGAACTACTACAGCCCATTGCCGGATGGTCTAGGGGTAACGCTGGACCTGCGTTAAATTTCACATGTATTTATCAATTATGTCCGTCAATGCAAAAACTACAAAACAAATCTAACGAAACCTTCTCTGAACTCAACCCCTACCTAAACACCCCTACCCACGGGTGTGCGTCCACAAGGGAATACACCTAAAATACCCATTACTTCGTAAAACCTAAAAACGAAAAATTTGACCTGAACTGCTCGGTGTCTGACTAGAGATTGCCTATAAACCAGTACAAACCGCGTGACCACGCGCTAAAGCCCGTGCGCCACGTTATTACCTCGTATCCGCGAAGACAAACAATTCCCGCTTTTACTACCGAAACGCGGGAATATTTGATTCCCTTGGTGAATGTCGTCACGCTTTGGTGCCGCACCCTTCTGTACACTTATCAGTGAAACCTCACAAGGGGTTATCATAATTCAGACACATTCTTTTCTAGGGTGCAATGCATGCTTGCGCTGTTGAAACTGCTTGAAAGTAACAGTGTTCCCCTATAAGATGAATGTAACACACACAGATGATTTTGTCTTTAAAATTGGGAAATGAACACAGTAGGCCAACAAAAGTTCCGCGAGACGGTACATGATACGTACGCCCGTCAGATGTAGAATGAGCAGTTTGCCACAAAGGGCCATAAGTGCATACATTTTGGAGAGATAAGCGTCAAATCTACAAGGGGCCATAACTGCATAAATAAGAGGAAAATCATTTTTGTTATCGAACTTGTCCGAACTTTCATTGCAATGAACCTTCATACCAAGTTTGAAATTAATCCATTCAAAATTACTCAAGTTATTGAGCGGAAACTGTTTCGGCAATTCTTCAAAGGGCCATAACTCCGTAAATAACCGGCAAATAGTTTTGGTTATCGCAAGCTTTCATAGAAATAAACCTTCCTATGAAGTTTGAAATTAATCTATTTAAAATTCTGAAGTTATTGAGCAGAAACTGTTTCGGCAATTTACAAAGGGCCATAACTCCGTATATAACCGGCGCATAATTCTGGTTATCGAAATTGTCCGAGCTTTCATAGCAATCAACCATCCTATACATTTTGAAATGAATCCATTCAAACTTACTGAAGCTATTGAGCGGAAACTGTTTTGACAATTCTACAAAGGGCCATAACTGCATAAATAAAAGGCAAATAATATTTGTTATCGAACTTGTCCGAGCTTTCATGGCAATGAACCTTCCTAACAAGTTTGAAATGAATCCATTTAAAATTACTCAAGTTATTGAGCGGAAACTAATGTGTGCCCGCCCGCCCGAACGCCCGCCCGCGTGAAAACATAATACGTACCGTCTTTCGACGGGCGTATACAAATGATTAACACTGCATTTTCTGCTGTTTCGCCTTCTAGGACTCATCGACGATGCTTTAGGCCAAAAAGGCAGGATCGCGATTGGTCTAGTTAACTGTTAAAAAGAAGGAGATATGCGTTTAACCGCTACATTTCATGAATTGTAGAAAACATAGGAGTAGTTGGTTAATTTCAATAAACACCAAAGAGTAAAGTGTATATCATGGATATACAATTCATATCGCCTGAAATTGCGACACAACTAAGCAATTCAAATCTAAATATATTAATACAAAAGAAATTCCTATATGCTTAAAAATATTTTAAAGTTCAATAAAGGTATTTTTTGTATTACTGTTATTATTAATCAATTTTTGACAGTACTTCAGATTATTATTCCTTTTTGACAGAACTTCAGGCTCCTGTGTTAAAATAGAACTTCGCCACATTTTGTCGCTTGCCACAAATACGATGGTATATCTACTTCTCTATATAAGAAATAATCCAACATGTTCTCTCTTTATATGGAAAACGCAGGATTGTCGGCTCCCACGACCACAGTGATATCCGAGACGTGGTCAGAATGGATGTTATTTGATTTCCGTTTTAGTACCGCAGCTAACACAAACAGGCCGGCTGCCAAGCCGAGACCAGCGGACATACCGTAAAATGGCTTCGTGTAGGATCCCGTCAGATCAACAAAAAATCCTATAATATAGAAAACATATATTGAAAAAATAGTTCTTCGAAAACGTACACAATCTTTTATGACAGCAAAACATGAGTATACAAAATCAAGGCAAAGCGTAAAAAAATCCAAAATACAAGATAATAACGTAATTCAAAATCAAAATTTACAATTAAAACTAGGGCTAAATATGAACAATGAAAATATTAACATGGAGACTCTTGAAAATTAAGGAGAATAAGACAGGTGTTCCGGAAGGAAACGTCTTCTGCTTCATTGACGACAACAGCACTGCAATATCATTCTAGGTCAAATCAAAGTAAAGGCACGTCAAAAAAAAACACCCAAAAATCCTTTTCGTAACAGGAGAGCTAATTTAAATACATGTAAAGTTACAGGTCCATCCTCGATGTGTCATAGCAAAATTGAAGGCACGCGGCTTGCTATTTGATTGATCTCAAGTAAATAATGACTAATCACAAGGCTGATGGAGATTCCTTTGAAGATTACAGAGAAGCGAAGCCCGATTTCAAAGCACGTCAATTTATATGTCACAGGACCTCTGGAGTATCGCGGATGTTACAGGTCAGGTCGAACTCACCTGCAACTGGTCCTGAAATGCTTCCACTGATGCCTAACATCGTCATTAATACTCCCAAGCCTGCCGAGTAGTCCTGGAGTCCCACGATCTTCACTGTTGTCACGGAGACCGTGGTGACGCTAACACCTAACGTCATCCCCAAAAAGACCAAAAGGACAACATGCTGTGTATATGTCTTTGCATGAGGAAGCAACGCAGTCGCCGTCGATCCGATTATTGTGAAACACGCAGGGATAATAAGGACGCTGGTGTGAGGAATGTACTTTTTACACAAGCCTGGTACGACTCCACATAACGTGCTTCCTATTTGTAAATATAAATACATTAATATTGCTGATTTCGAGTCAAAACCTTTCGTTGTCAGGAAATCAATTATGAAAATTAATGAAGAATTTATAACCGGAAGTGTACAACACATGGCAACGACGTGTGCTATGTAAACTTTATTAGTGACCAGTGATCTTAGTGATTTCGTAAAGACCTGCTCTGTAGGTTTTGTTTCAGAGTCTACTTTCTTTAATTTATTCGCTTTAGTTTGTTGGAGGCCGATTGAAAGTGGTTTGCATACTGCAAAGAAACACGTCATGTTTGCCATAAGTCCTCCTATGAAGAGTAAACATCCTCTCCAACCAAACTCTTCAATGAGGAAGTGTAGGAGGAAGGGAATTAAAATCCCACCACATCCTGATCCAAAAGTGAGAAACGACAGCGCCATAAGTTGAGATTTCCCCTCAAAGTATTCTCCGACGCTTGTTACTGCGGAGATAATAGTCGCAGAGAAACCAATTCCTGTTGAAATTGAAGCCATATTTAGTATATAAAACATTTGAAGTTAGTGGAAAATGCTAAACCGAACATGCTATAATCATCATCATTTCCTCTGCTTATTAGGCAACTCTTTTGAGCGATAGTGCAATGTTCTATTACCAACTCTAGAGCAAATGTTATTATACATGCTGTTTGATTTTGCTCGTAGTAGTCTGAAATATTATCCTTGGTATGTTTAGGCATACCAAGTACCAGGTTGATTCCCTTTAATCTAGCACTATACATTCCAAAATTTCTTGAACGTACAAAACATGTATTATTCTTGTTAAGAATGTCTTTTGACATAGATAATTTTAAAACTGAATCGACGTATCATTTCGTGTCTAGTTTTGTAACCAAGTCAGTGAAAGATACCAGCTTACCAATTCGTGAAACAATAGGCAGTCAAAATGTGAACTGACCGTACTAGCCAAATGAAAGCCAAAGCGATACAATTGAAAGGAATGTGAATAATGGTGTTTAATGGATCAATACGTACTCCAATTAATGAATCAATATATTCCATTGTAAACAACGAATTAACTTTTGAGGGGACACGCGTTCATAAATATATATATTTAACCTTTTTTCACACACATCCATGTTATCTTGCAGGACAGGACACATTACTGCAACGTTCAGAAACTATGCCATCGGATGCAATACAAATGTAGAGGTGCAAAGTTTGTTTGTGAAAAGAAAAAGAGGCATCAAGCGACAAATGTTTCCAAGTGCAAAGAGAAGGAACTAAGCTTTATTTATTGAGCTATGAAGGTCACGTGACCTTATCGACACTGAATGAGATACGAAATCACATATTAAAAGATAATTTACTCTGGACAAACTTGCTTTCTTGAATCATGTTTCCAACACTTCCGCATCGAGTCTGTATATGTCTTTAATAATATTTTTTGTCATACCTGAAACTAGGCCAAGCGTCACGATGAGATGAGGGATACTTTGGGCAAAGAAAGAGAAGACCAGACCGAGTGTCACCAAAAGACTACCAGCTATCCCAGTCATTCGAGGTCCGTATCTAGCCACAGCCTTCCAACAGAAAGTTCCTGTATGGACAAAATCAAAGCAAATATTTTTTTTAAAACCTTCTGTACAGACTTACGTCTTAAAATATAAAATTTAATGTATCGACAATATTTTTGTATCTTGAAACATACTGTTACCAGCTATGTCCATTATTAAACTGATAACTTGACTGATGTCGAAGCTTTCATCACATACCTTGAATCTCGTTATAGTAATACAAGCAATTTTCATACCATGAAATACAACGTTCTGTATTGCACATATGCAATACGGAATATTGTATTTACCTACTAGCCGGAACTTATTTTTATGGGAATCTCATTGTCATGGCGAGCTGAAACGCTCCCGGTATTTGCAAAAAATATCAAAGTTTATAAAATCTTTGTATCGATCTCTAACAAAAACGGAAGGTGTGTGATAAAGGCAAGACCACACACTTGTGTTTTCTAATTAATCAGAAAGTACTCATTTATTGCGCGGACGTATATATTTATGCGTGCGCTCCGCGAATATATTCGTCCGCGCAATAAACTCGTGCTTTCTGATTCGTTAGAAAAAACACAAGTGTGTGGTCTTGCATATATAAACGATATACATGATTTTATATTCTACCATGTCGGTGATGTAATGACACTTTTCATTGATTTTTAATTATAAATTATTGGGCGATGTGAACAGTAAACAATTTTAAAACCATGTATGTTCCCCAAAAGTCAACTCCTCCCCGTATTGCAAATGTAAGCAAGTGAGCAGTATCTAAATAGTGTTGCACGACATTTGTATATCTAATTAATTCCGCATAAATCCATGCTGTGGCGGCAAAAAAAAAACTACAAGCTACAGCATTAAATACATACCACATGGACCGAGGTTTGCTTTGTATTCCATCATGCGATACGACATATGTTTTTTGTGATTTATTCTGAAATATCAATTTCATACGCTTGAAATTAATTGCACGTTGAACTACCTAGTTATCGACGTTGTACCCAGTCAGGTTCCGCTTAATCAATCCCTCCTTCCACAATGTCTTCAACCCTTCAGACACGAGACCATATTACCAGCGTGAAGTTGGTTACTTATTCAATATTGGGCTAGCCCAATATTGGACCGGACCAATGTTGGGCTGGCGCAATATTGGGCTAGTGTGATATTCAAATGTATCTAACATAACAGTTCTTATGCCGCTTTTTCACACCTATACCACAACTGGGCATCTTCTAAGGTATCCACATGCAAAACGGCATCAACGATACCCCAGGCTAAAGATGCCCACTGGGCATCATTTCGAATTTCAGTACATAATCGTTAATTTTTCGTTTTCAACAGGCCACGGCATATTGTTATAGGTCTTATGCCGCTTTTTCACACCTATACCACAACTGGGCATCTTCTAAGGTATCCACATGCAAAACGGCATCAACGATACCCCAGGCTAAAGATGCCCACTGGGCATCATTTCGAATTTCAGTACATAATCGTTAATTTTTCGTTTTCAACAGGCCACGGCATATTGTTATAGGTCTTATGCCGCTTTTTCACACCTATACCACAACTGGGCATCTTCTAAGGTATCCACATGCAAAACGGCATCAACGATACCCCAGGCTAAAGATGCCCACTGGGCATCATTTCGAATTTCAGTACATAATCGTTAATTTTTCGTTTTCAACAGGCCACGGCATATTGTTATAGGTCTTATGCCGCTTTTTCACACCTATACCACAACTGGGCATCTTCTAAGGTATCCACATGCAAAACGGCATCAACGATACCCCAGGCTAAAGATGCCCACTGGGCATCATTTCGAATTTCAGTACATAATCGTTAATTTTTCGTTTTCAACAGGCCACGGCATATTGTTATAGGTCTTATGCCGCTTTTTCACACCTATACCACAACTGGGCATCTTCTAAGGTATCCACATGCAAAACGGCATCAACGATACCCCAGGCTAAAGATGCCCACTGGGCATCATTTCGAATTTCAGTACATAATCGTTAATTTTTCGTTTTCAACAGGCCACGGCATATTGTTATAGGTCTTATGCCGCTTTTTCACACCTATACCACAACTGGGCATCTTCTAAGGTATCCACATGCAAAACGGCATCAACGATACCCCAGGCTAAAGATGCCCACTGGGCATCATTTCGAATTTCAGTACATAATCGTTAATTTTTCGTTTTCAACAGGCCACGGCATATTGTTATAGGTCTTATGCCGCTTTTTCACACCTATACCACAACTGGGCATCTTCTAAGGTATCCACATGCAAAACGGCATCAACGATACCCCAGGCTAAAGATGCCCACTGGGCATCATTTCGAATTTCAGTACATAATCGTTAATTTTTCGTTTTCAACAGGCCACGGCATATTGTTATAGGTCTTATGCCGCTTTTTCACACCTATACCACAACTGGGCATCTTCTAAGGTATCCACATGCAAAACGGCATCAACGATACCCCAGGCTAAAGATGCCCACTGGGCATCATTTCGAATTTCAGTACATAATCGTTAATTTTTCGTTTTCAACAGGCCACGGCATATTGTTATAGGTCTTATGCCGCTTTTTCACACCTATACCACAACTGGGCATCTTCTAAGGTATCCACATGCAAAACGGCATCAACGATACCCCAGGCTAAAGATGCCCACTGGGCATCATTTCGAATTTCAGTACATAATCGTTAATTTTTCGTTTTCAACAGGCCACGGCATATTGTTATAGGTCTTATGCCGCTTTTTCACACCTATACCACAACTGGGCATCTTCTAAGGTATCCACATGCAAAACGGCATCAACGATACCCCAGGCTAAAGATGCCCACTGGGCATCATTTCGAATTTCAGTACATAATCGTTAATTTTTCGTTTTCAACAGGCCACGGCATATTGTTATAGGTCTTATGCCGCTTTTTCACACCTATACCACAACTGGGCATCTTCTAAGGTATCCACATGCAAAACGGCATCAACGATACCCCAGGCTAAAGATGCCCACTGGGCATCATTTCGAATTTCAGTACATAATCGTTAATTTTTCGTTTTCAACAGGCCACGGCATATTGTTATAGGTCTTATGCCGCTTTTTCACACCTATACCACAACTGGGCATCTTCTAAGGTATCCACATGCAAAACGGCATCAACGATACCCCAGGCTAAAGATGCCCACTGGGCATCATTTCGAATTTCAGTACATAATCGTTATTTTTTTCGTTTTCAACAGGCCACGGCATATTGTTATAGGTCTTATGCCGCTTTTTCACACCTATACCACATCTGGACATCTTCTAAGGTATCCACATGCAAAACGACATCAACGATACCCCTGCTAAAGATGCTCACTGGGCACTTTTGCAAATTTTAGCCTAGTCTCATTAAGCTTTTGTTTTGAACCTGCAAGAGCACATTTGTACAGATCTTATGCCGCTTAATCAGACCTATATAGTTACAGGGCATCGTCTAATGTATTGACATTCATATTCAAACGGGCAACAACGATACCCAATGCTAAAGATGCATTTTTCGAATTGATGTCTAATTTTTTTTCAATGAGGAAGGGCGCATCGTTAAACCTCTTATGCAACTTTTTAAGAAATATTATATAACCTTCTTTTACATTATGAGAATGCAGTTTCATGCAAGCATATATTACAATTAGGTTATGAACTATTTAAAATCATAATGCAGTATATAAAATCAAAATCTGAATTGAAAGAAACAATTAAAACCAAAACAAATTTACTATTCTTGCATTTTTTGTCTTTATCTCCCCTAGGTTGTCAACTCGGATACAGTTGTAGCCAACTCTCGCGAGAATACGCAAAACGATAATGAAAATAGGCGTTGCATGGCGGCCCACGACCGATTAAATATTTTAGCATAAATTGATTAATTGGCATAAAATACACATTAAAACAATGTTATTCCTCAAAAAGGACCAATTTGTGACTGTAAAGATGTTTCACTGAATATGCCCACTTTACGGAACTTCTTTCCCCGTACCCCCTTGTCTTTTTGCTAAATATCAAAGTACTGAAAGTTCGGATGACGACTGTCACACGATCATAGAGAGAGTATTGTGCATTAATTTTTAATAATAATTCGACTAGAATTTAGTATGGGACATTATGGGGAGATGAGAATAAGATTTTGTATAAACTAGGAATGTGACCCATGTATAATAACTTCAGTTGGACCTTAAAAAGGGCTGCTTCAGGCATGAAATATGCATCCATTCGTTTCCGAATCTTTTCTTCAGGTTGGTAAGAATGGATTTTAGAAGGTTCATGTAGCACAATCAGTAAAGTGTTTATGTGTGAAATTTTGATTACTAGCACGGTATGTACGCTGTCACCGTCATCAGAAAAATGACCAGTGAAACGTACATGTTCAGTTGGGAGCAAACTTAACTTGGTAGCCTAGTGTATTGGTGGAGTCAACACCGAAGTGAACTGGAGTGCACTTCAATGTTTTGTCAAGTGCACTTCCTTGTTCACTACGTGTGCACTACGAAGTGTACTATATACTAAGATAAGTTTGCTCCCAACTGTATACACAAATGTGCAAAATATGCACCAGTTTGGCGCCGTCCATTTGGCTACACTATACGTGTATGCACACTTGTTGTACAGTAAGATGACTCAAACCGACAAATCATTTAGCCTACACTTTGTTTAATGTCTGGTGATGTGCAGGACTCTATTGGCCCCCTCATCTCAGAACTGGCCCCATGTTGCTTATTCGGGTTTCTTCCTTTCTCTGACGCAAGCACATATTGTTCTCGCTGTATACCCCAACCAATTACTTGATTTGGCTGTACGGTATGGTCAGTTCGCGGGTAAAAATGCGTCTATTGGTGATTGATAATGAAAATCTCCAGGAAAAAGTTGCAATATCATATCTATTTATTAATGGATGTTGATTATGAAGAGGGGCTGGGTTAAATAATCGCAATTTGCATATGTTACTAACAAAAAGCTGCTTCACTACAGTAGTCTGACAAAGTTTAAC